AAAGAAGCATGTGGCAACAAACTTAGAAAAATAATTTAAGAAGAACAGGGGAGGAGAACTGTAGATAAGAGAAATGCGCAATGAACAAACATACAAATGGACTAATGAGAGAGGTGGACACACCTGGTGATAACTGGGAACAGGTGAGAAAAGTGGGGCAGTAGTTAACAAGCAGAGCTGACAAATAAAACTAAAAATTAACTTTTCTCCATCCACTCCATCCTGCTTAAACTCGCTTCGTCACCTCTCTGTTTTCCTGAACAGTTGACCCTGGTGAGCACAGAGTACTAAAAAGTTGGAAATGCTGACTCATATCCATTAATTAAAAATACAACTTAGCTGATGCAAACAGAAAAAGAAGTTTATTAAATAAATAAATAAAATAGTGGCTGCTAACACTAAACATATAAAGAAGTAAAGGTTAGCAGAAGCTAGCACTAACTATTACTTGCTAACTGCTAAAAAGACTGTCACTCACTCATTAATTTATAATCCACTAGCTAANAAAAGAAGAAAATACAGTGATTACATTTCATTTGACTTTTAAAAAGAACCACTCCCATTTATTAGATTGTTATAGATAGTTTCAGAAGTATTTTCCTTGTTGAACTGATCCAATTTTACATCTACACCCAAAATACACATCTACTACCTGACTGGAAAAACCTGAACCTGTCATCGCAGGAATTTGTAGCAAAATGTTTGCCACTGCATGTTTCAACAAGGACTTAAAGTTAATGGTAAATTTAATGGTAAACTTTGAAACACAGATACTGTCAATGACTCAACTGCACACATGAACACAGACTGTAGACTAAAGTCAGCATTTTAGGTTTAATATTGTGAACAGAAATCACACATTGTGGACTGAACAAAGAGGAACATTGGTCACAAGGTAAAACAAAATGTGACTGGTTTTAAGTTGGTCATAAAAAATAAAGTGTGGTAAATATTCGCATTTAGGTTTTAGCTGGACTTGAATCATTAGAAATTGATGACTCCATGACTTGAGTGCAGACACCGGTCTGATCTGTTCAGAAGAACACAATCGGGTCCTGGTGGGTCTTGGGGTGCTGGATACTGGTCAGTTCAATGTCTCCTCCATAACATGGAAGTTTTTCATAAACACAAATGTGGATGTACTCATTTCCACCCACGTGGATCTGAAACACAGATAGATCGAGTCAGAGCAACGCTTCACAAACTTATCAGCTTCTGACCCACAAAATAACATCATTAGAGACCTGAACCCCCAATTAATTCAGCTGATAAAGCATAATAACAAAAATCATTAGCCTACTTTCTTCTGTTTTGTACACCAACCTGACTGTTTTATAACAACTAACGCAAGAAAATAGATGTTCTTCAATTCTTCCAAGAACACACTTTGATGTTTCAGGACTCACTGGGGTGTCCTGACACCAACTAGGAACCACTGAGTCAAAAATATTTTTACCTGGATTTATTTGTTTGGTGTCAGTGATATCAAACAGTTTTCATCTCATGAATATTAACAGCTTTGTAGTAATTTAAATTAAAGACTTTTATTTTGTAGTTGAAGACATTTTGCTCTCCATCCAGGTGAAAGTTTCTCCATTCCACTCTGAATAGAGAACTCCTCAGATTTTTTTTATCTATTTATTGTTTCCATTATTTTTGTCTGATTACCACATCCTGAATGACAGGAACTCTGAAACAGTATGCTGTTTTGTGTTTTAAAAATGCACAGATTAAAAAAAAAACATTTAACAGAAACATATTAACTGCAGCATCTTTACCTTTATGAAGTAGTTGGTCC